ACAGAGAAAAAAGGAACAAAACAATGGAGAAATGAGATGTTCTTGAGAGATTTGTGAGAGAAGAAACAAAAGTATAGAATTTGGGATTCTGCAAAGATCAAAAGATGCTTCGATTTACTCTTCTCGCATGTCTTCTCATTTTCTCTTTTGGTCTTCCCTCTACTTCTTCAGCTCGACCAGGTTTGTTAGAACTTTCAGTTTACTTGATTTGGACACATTCTTTTTCCAGTAGTTCCAAGTTTTGAGAGAGATAATGGTTTTTTGTCCTGATTCCAAATCTTGACTTGCATTTCACTTGGATTCCGTTTTCTTCTTGTTTCCAATTCTTGATTCAGAAAATGTTATATATATATATAATCTCTTCAATCAAATTTTGAATTCAAGATTCACCAAAATTTACAGCTCAAGATTACAGAGTTTCTAATATTTTGTTTGTGCTCTTTAAGACTCGAGAACAGTACACAGTAGATAAGTTTGTGTAATGATGGTGATTAAATCGGATCTGATTTTGCAGCACCATATGCATTACGGATTAGTTGTGGAGCTAGGCAAAACGTTCGAACGCCACCAACTTATGCACTTTGGTACAAAGATATTGCTTATACAGGAGGAATCCCTGCCAATGCTACAGCACCTAGTTACATAACTCCTCCATTGAAAACGCTTCGGTATTTTCCGATTTCCGAAGGTCCGAATAATTGCTACGATATTGTACGAGTGCCAAAGGGACATTACTCCGTGAGGATTTTCTTTGGATTGATTAACCAGCCTAATTTCGATAAAGAGCCTCTTTTCGACATATCTATTGAAGGAACTCAGATTTCTTCTTTGAAATCTGGTTGGAGTAGTCATGATGACCAAGTATTTGCCGAGGCACTCATTTTTCTTTTAGGTGGTACATGTACAATATGTTTTCATAGCACTGGTCATGGGGATCCCGCGATCATTTCTATTGAAATTCTTCAGGTTGATGATAAAGCTTACAATTTTGGTCAAGGTTGGGGCCAAGGAGTGATTCTAAGAACAGCTACAAGGTTGACTGTTGGTACCGGGAAGCCGAGGTTTGATGAAGACTATAGTGGAGATCATTGGGGTGGTGATAGGTTTTGGAATCCGATGAGATCTTTGGGTAAGAATGCTGATTCTCAAAGATCAACTGAGAATGCAATTAAGCAAGCCTCTACCTCGCCAAACTTTTATCCTGAAGCACTATATCAATCAGCACTAGTTAGCACGGACGACCAACCCGATTTAACATTCAGCTTGGATGTCGAACCCAACAGAAATTATTCGGTATGGCTTCACTTTGCGGAGATTGATGCCACAATCACTGTTGAAGGAAAACGAGTGTTTGATGTCGTAATAAATGGCGACACTGTCTTTGAAGATGTAGATGTCATAAAGATGAGTGGTGGTCGATATGCAGCACTTGTTCTCAATTCAACAGTGACTGTGAGTGGAAGAACATTGACTGTTGTTCTACAGCCCAAGGCTGGCGGTCATGCTATTATCAATGCCATCGAGGTCTTTGAAGTCATAACCGCTGAGTTTAAAACATTACGGGATGAAGGTACACATTCTTTCACGGACACTAGTATCGCCTTTCATTCTTGTTCTTTTTCCTGAGTTAATGCTCAAATATCAAAGGGTAGAACTTGGACAATTCAAGTAAGTTCTTGTTTGTATTCCTGGTAATCTAGCTAGGCACACAACTTTGATATTGGCGAAAACTTGCCAATTATTCACGAGCTAGTTGTTTGCTTTCTGCATCTTTCGATTATAGTTGTATGAAACATCTTATATCTTGGTCGCCATTTTTGTGTTTCAGTCGGTGCGCTGCAGAAAATGAAAAAAGCTTTAGGGCTTCCTTCAAGGTTTGGATGGAATGGTGATCCATGTGTTCCCCCACAACATCCATGGAGCGGAGCTGATTGTCAGCTGGACAAGAACACCAGCAGATGGTTCATTGACGGACTGTATAGCTCGTTCCTCTTACTTTTCTGCATGTACATTTATCGCATGTGTAACATTGGCCCTTCAAGGATCTCTGTTAGAGTTTATGGTCTTTCATCATGTGTTTAAATAGGCAGACTCTTTTTTTTTATTTGCAGTGATCTTGATAACCAAGGTCTGAAGGGTTTCCTACCGAACGACATATCAAAGCTAAAACATCTTCAGAGCATGTAAGCGAATACATAATTCTTCTCATAGTCTGCAAAAGTTTATCTACATGTCGTTGGCTTTCCTTCCCTTATTTGTAGATGCCCCCTTGCAGTGAACTCTTCTTGATCAAAATGTTTTAAGAGACTCCTTTATAATCTTGTCCATGTTTCAGAAACTTGAGTGAAAACAGCATTCGTGGAGGAATACCTGCATCGCTTGGAAGCATTACGAGCTTGGAAGTGTTGTAAGTAATCACTTGGTCTATTAATCGAGTAAAATCTGTGTGAACTATCTGAAACTGAAACCTTATGCTTCTTTGAAGGGATCTCTCCTACAATTCTTTCAATGGATCTATCCCTGAAACCTTAGGAGAGTTAACATCCCTACGGATTCTGTAAGATTTTCTGCTCATCTTGTTATTTCTTTGATACGGGTCCATGTCGATTTCAGTTGCCGATGGAGCTTATATGTTCAGCAATATAAAACCTTCTATTGTATTGCAGGAATCTCAATGGAAACTACTTGTCAGGAAAAGTTCCAGATGCTGTAGGTGGAAGACTGTTGCACAGAGCAAGCTTCAAGTACGAATATTGAATCAGAAACAAATTATTTCTGAACAATGTTGTTGGCGAAAGTACTCGCTTACCTGTAAAACTGTTTCTCTATATCTGCAGCTTCACAGATAACGCAGGTCTTTGCGGAATCCCTGGACTTCCAGCTTGCGGGCCTCACCTTACTTCTGGAGCCAAGATCGGGATTGCATTTGGTGTTAGTCTAGCATTCCTATTCATAGTTGCTTGTGCAATGATTTGGTGGAAAAGACGACAAAACATTCTTCGGGCACAGCAGATTGCAGGTAAAACATTTCGCCTTGTGTACCGAAAAGATGGAAATTAATCGTATTGTGTCTATGAGGAAATGGTTTATGAGCTTTACTATCAAAATATTGCAGCAAGAGGAGCTCCTTATGCGAAAAAGAGAACACATGTATCTCATGACATACAAATGACACGGCATGGGCAGAATAACCACGGCCAAGCTCGTACTGCTGTCGAAAATGGACCGAGCTTGTTGTCCTGAATTCACTTGCTCAATGAAAACAAAGCAAGAGAGAGAGACCAATATCCTCTGGCTTGCTCAATGAAAGAAGAAAATACATTTGTAAATCGTCTTTAAATTACCACTTGTCATAGATATATAGGATTCGATTTCTCTTGTTTAAATTTATGGGATTAGTAGTCCTTTTGTCTTTTCTTTTCTGGTGGGAATTAGAGG